TAAATGCCGAAATAATTGGAAAAATCTATCTTCGTTCTAGTGATGATGATGACATCTCGCTAAACTTTGAAACACTCAAAATTTGTAACGTTTTTCCTTAACTTATTTTCCAAATTTGGTAATCTGTTGAGTATCATAATTGCATATCGAAAATTCATTGTTGTTATTTAAATTACGTAGCATGTAAATAATGTATAATAGATTGTATTCACCGGATGAAACACTAATTCCTGAATTGCTAAGAAACAATATTATAGAATTCTAAATAAATATTTGTATATAGTACGAAAATACATGTGATTACGAAAAATGGTAAATTTTTTTTATTTATTTCAATTGTAAACATTGTTAACAATGTCAGTAAATATCTTTTATATTAAAAGAAAATTATGTTTAATTTTTTGCTAAAGTTTGGTCGCGGAGGTCAATGAAATCGTCAAATCACGACTAATAGGAAATACCAATACTAATAACGTTGAAATTAAGTCTACCCTAATATTGACCAGATCACATAATGATAATAAGGAAACAATATACGCACTACGTAAGAATTCAAAATAACAATGAATTTAGTTATATATGCATTAGGGTGCTAATAATTTGCCCTGTTACGTACGAGATTAAGCATAATCATGCTCATTTGTCATTTCTATATTAGTAAATTAATAAATGCCAAATATATTTGTTATACAGTCGATCGTAATTATTTTGTAATAATACAGCTATTGAATAATACAGCTGCACTATTGTTCTTGTTTCAAGTACGTACGTACGTACTCTCCAAAGTTTGATAATGTGTGTTTTTTTTGGTAAAATTCGATTAATGTCTTCAATATTTCTTACATTCTCTAATATATAATTTCTTTTCAATCAACTTTCCTAGTCAACAAAGGTGCTATTTACCTATTGATCAGTGATCAGTGATCGTAACAAGATAATGCCTTCTTGATCGGATAATTACGGAGATTACGGAAATTACGGACTATGAGACAATACTAACGCAGAAGAAAAAAAATATGTGATGCGTTAAAGCGTCTATCCTAATCTTTGTAAGAAATTTTGAAAGGGTAAAAAGAATGATAAATGTAGTGTATTGTCTGACAGTGTATTTGTGATAATATCATATTACATTTAGATTACATTTAACATATTAATGTGCATTAACATGAATTCTTTCACAGAAATAACGTTAGAAAATTATTAAAAAAAATATATCACACGAAATAGTATAATACTTTTAGTGAAACTTACCCTGGTATAATTGGAATTTCCAAAGAATAATACTCTTGATTGATTAGCCTAATTTTGGGTTCCGTAAAAAGTACCATATGACTCTTATTGCGCCTTTTTTAATTATACAAAATAATTCGTGCATATGGCTGCTGTTAAATAATGAACAATAGCTTTGTCTTTTCATACAATATGTTTTTAAAACTTGTAATTTACAAGTGTTTACTACGTTTCTCGTAGTTTGCAATTATTATAAATACCACCTACCTGCGACCTTTCAAATCTCAACAAAAAATCCAATCCCTCCCAAGAAAGAAGAAATAAAAAATTATAAAATTCCAAACTTTTAAAAAACATAATCTAAAAGCTTCCAACCTTTTACAAAAATGAATCCAATTACTGTCAATCCTACTGTCTCCCAGACTGAAAAACCCGACGCTGTTAACCAATGCTCTATTATGTATACCGTCACTGGGCCCGGTGCCCCTGCTACTGGTGAAGACCCTTACGCTGCAAGTGCCGTTAACCAATGCTCCATTATGTAACTTAACGTTCGAGATCTTTTTATCAAATATCTCCTCAAAGTTCGCTATACAAGATCTTATATCTCTCTCCTCACTTATGGGTTACGTTCGTTGTACAAAGATCTCATATCTTCCTCCCTACTCACCTCTGGGTTTTCTATTATAATTATTAAATCTGAATTATCATTCTTTATTTTTAATAATTTGGCAGACTTTTTTTTTCTATTTTCATTTTTGTATTTTTATTTAATTTAATGATCTAATATAATTTTGGGTTGGTTTCTTTGTTGAATTGTTCTTTGATTCATAGATTATGTATTTTTAAAGGGTTGGGAATTTTCATAGTTATAGTCTTACTTTTTTTTTTTAACGTTTTCTATGAATGTTTTTTGTATTTTCTCTGGTAGGCTATACTTAAAATGTTCATTGATCGTTTTTTTTTTTAACGTTTAATAAAAAGCAAGTTCTATGCTATGAATAACAAATATTGCGTGCTCAGTTCTTATTTGAAATTTTGAATTCTAAGTGTGTAATATCTGATATAAATTATAAATGTATATATCAGACGATAGACTTAAGTATACTTTTTACGAAATGTGAGATGACCATACATGATCACTTTCTAGTGTTGTACATTTTGACCGTCCCAACTTTTTTTTAGCCTTATCAATATTTCTGTATCTTTGAAAGTGCTTGAGACGGTTGTCGCTCAATTCCCCGAAAGACATTCCTCGACAGGTCACTTACCCGACATCACATAGGGCTATGGTTAGCATTCTATTAGTTGCAGGTATTTATTTTTAGCAAGTTGCTACTCTGTGATGTCGAGTCGGAGAAATAACTTTCGGGGAATCGTGCCGTAACCTTTGAGACCCGACTTATAGAATGTCTACTAACACCTAAGTATTTAGCAATTTTTCGAACTGATAGGCTTTCTAAATTTTTTTCAATATTGTATTTGCCAGAGAAGATGCTTTGAAAGTATCATATTTCTGTATTAAACCAGAGATATATGTCCGTATAGTACTAGGGTGTCAACAATCAGCTTAATCACATAGGGCAAGATACATAGTAACTGATTATTAGTGATAATTTTTTGATGTAAATGTTTCGAAATTTTGATTCATATTAAATTACTATTAAAAGAACGTCCTTTTCAAAATTTAATAACTCTTAATATAGCGATAGTAAAACTAATTTTATTTTAATTCTTTAAATACGTCTTTAACAATTAATAACCACATATTTTACCGTATAAAATTCCCAAGGGTGTTATTTTATAATGGCCCGAATTAAGTTTAATTTAGGCCAAAATTTGAAATTACATCACTGGCCGTTATTTCGTCTTATACGGCTAGAATATTTTAAATATAAGGTTATCACTTGATAAAGATGTATTTAAAGAATTAAAATAAAATTAGTTTTACTATCGCTATGTTAAGAGTTATTAAAATTTGAAAATTACGTTCTTTTAATAGTAATTTAATAGTAATTTAATATGAATCAAAAATTTCGAAAAATTTGCATCAAAAAATTATCACTAATAATCAGTTACTATGGATTAAACTGATTGTTGACAACCCTAGTATAGTACGTACTGCACGTACTAAAGTCTTGTAATATTTACATTAGTCAACGGATATTAAAATTATATCAATTTGAATCTATTATGCCGCTGTAAACGATCCCCTAGCCAATCAATGAATTTTTAATCATATTTCATTATTTACCTGTAACATACAAAGAAATTATTTTATCATAATGATAAAATTCAAACGGTAATCGATATAATGACTATTGTCCAATGAGTTAGTGGCTACGTAGAGATTGAGTTCCGTACGTAAGCATATCTTGATATTGGGGGTATAGTTTGTATTAATCTATGAATTTTGCACATAGATGATTTCATATTAACCTTGTGCATTAAAGGCTCTTTGGATTATTATGTACTGTAATACTAGTTGACATTATGTAAAGTTCATTAACCGTAGTATTGCTTTGTAAGCTTTGAATTTTACAATTCATTTAAACTCGTATTGGTAAAAAACACACAATCTATTATATCGGTTGCTAATTTACATTTGAAGTTTATATTTATTATTGTTTGATTTAAAAAAAGTCACTATCAATGTTCTTTTTAGGGAACCGAATTTTTTGACGAATACCGATATAGAGACTGGAATTATAAACTATTTCGTGAATACTTTTCGGAAGAAAAATAAAACATAAAGGGTTCATATAATGTGTGGTTTGTGAATCTAGAGTATGTTAAATAGTGTTCAAAGATAAGCCGGCTTATCACGGCTTGCTGCGGCTTACTGCGGCTTATCACGTGATAACTTCGAATTTATCACCAAGCCATGTGATAATCTCGACTATATCGCGCGATAATTTCGAGATTATCACATAGCTTGGTGATAAATTCGAAGTTATCACGTGATAAGCCACAGTAAGCCGCTTATCTTTGAACACTAATGTTAAAAATAATTAGAAGCAATATGAAGTTAAAAATTATCAAATTGATGAGATTTTGATAAATAATAATACAAACTAAACGAAACTCAAATTGGAATTGGCAAGAACACCATGCAGCGACCTAATATAACTAACAAGATCAGTTATGTAATCGGCATTTAAAATATTCATTAATTCGAAAAATTTTGAATTTTTTTATTCAAAAAATTTATATGTAATATGAAATGCTTAAACATGCAATAATTTTACTCTTTAACTGCTAACTCTTATTTCAATGCATATTCAAGCAATGAAAAGATGATTATATCTAATCTATTTCAAAAAAAACCATTTTCAACAGAAACTTGTTCAATGTTCAACTTATCAGTTTGGTAGAACCAATTCCAGATAAATTTGCCTAGAAAATTGCAATAAATATAGTTATAATTTACTTTTTTTTAAAATTTAAACTATATATTTAAATAAAAGTTTTTTTGATAATATTTAAAAATAAAGATTATAAGAGGTGTGGTAATCTAGTGTAGTGAGTAGGTTGTCACCCTCCAAGCTTCTTGTAACTAAAGAAATAGAGTTTAAATTCTACTAGTGATATTTTGAATTATAGTAATTGATTTTTATTGATTAGTTAATTCTAGAGTCTATAACTTTGATCAGACCAGTGCTGGAAGGTTCTAGAAGTATTTGTATAACTCTAGGGTTATATAAAGAAATGCAAAATAATTTAAGTAGTGCAAACTTACAATAAACCTTCTAGGACTATAAAAAACTAAAAAAGAACTAGAAAATTAGAAATTAGCTTGAAAAGTTTTAAGTAGAGAGATAATACAGATATTTAACAATAATGCAGAAAATTTTAAGCTAAAAATAAATACTTAGACTAGAAATAAGAGCTCAAAGTATTCTTATAAAAAAAAAAGAAAAAAATACTAATTAGGCTACCAAAATTTAAGCCAAAAAAAAGAATATATATTACAAAAATATATATTAGAGTTGGGTAACTATAAACTAAAGATTTGGTAAACCTGATCTTCTAGGCTAATAGATCTTTAAAAGGAGTCTATGAATTAGAAAAAGAGAAGTACACAAGTACTAAAATTTGTATAAATTTCACAAAAGCAAAAATAAGTAACTACAAAAGTAATTCCAAGTATATAGATTAAATCATGATATAAATTACTGAAATGCAGATAATATATATATAAAATATGAACCACTTTGCCAAGTTTACTACAAAGATAAATGTTCTTCTAGAAATAAATATTGAAGGCTAAAGTCTCAAAGTTTTATTTGACAAATTACTTTATAAAAAAAATATATTAAAGAAAAATATATAGTAAGAGTTTAAGTTTAAGAGTTAAATAAATAGCTTTTTAAGTTATAAATATAGTAGCTTTAAAATAGACTATTTAAATTAGATAGCTAAAAATTATATATGTAGCTAGCTATACTTTTGTAATATTAATATAACATGTTATTTATTTATTTTTTTTTAAACTTTGATAATTTTGCTAATATCTTTATTAGTAATTTATTATTATTTTTTTTTTTTTAATATTTAAGATGAGACCTTGCTCTTATCATTATTAAGCTTAATAATATTAGTAATTTATTAACAATAACAATAATATATATTATATATATACTATATAACTGTACTAATTAGAGGCATAGTAACTTAGTATAGTAGTCTAGTCATCACTCTCTTCAAGTAGTAGGTCTAAAGTTCAAATCCCACTAATAATGATATTTGAAAAATAGGCCTGTGTTCGGTTGATAGCTATACTTATCAGTTGGATCTAGAACTAAATTTGTTAATAGGAGCTTTGATACAATAAATCTGAGGAACCGGCAAAACTGAAAACTTATTTGGGAAGTCCCAAATTTGGATATAACAGTGATCTTTAACAGTATGATAGAAGAGCTCAATTTGAACTAGAGCTCAAAATCAGAGAACCGAGCGACCAGGTTTTATGGCAAAGGACACACTAGCCAAACCGCCAGGTTGTTGTACTGGAGGAAAAGAATATATGCTTTGAAAGTATAAATCAAGAAAAGGGTGTCTTTCAAGTACCTAAAGTCTAGGCAAATCAACCCTTCTGAGTTGCTGGCTGGAAATAAGGGAAGAACTGATAAAAAATCTGAGTAAGGAGATAATTCCAAGTGTAGATACTGGGGTTGTTGTGAATCGAATATATAATAAGAAACTAATTAGAAAGATTGTGGCTTGAGATATGGATTAGGTTATGGCAGTGCTCTAAAGGGTAGTTTGAAATACGAACTTGGTGATAGCAATACAACAGGTACTAACTAGGAAGATATTATGGAACATGTAGATAAATGTATATATGGGACATGCACCACTCTGTTGGGCTTATTTTCAAGAATAGTAAAGTGTTCTAAGTTGGCTGATTATGTAGTAGTATCACAAAACTTATGTTTAAATAGTGAGTTATACTCGCATTAAGATGAGTGTCAGGTTAAATATGTTAAGACCAGAAGATTTAAATAGGTATTTCTGTAGTTGGAGTACAGATATAGCAGATAGTATAGAACTCTTAGTATAGTACAATCACTTTGAGCGGACTACTTAAATTAGGCATCAAAAGTGCACATGTGGCTTGATATATTTTATTATTTTTCTTTTTCATAGTAAACATGGGTTATATAACAGTTGTTATATGCCAAATAAAC